TTGACTCTATGCAAAGCAGGCACCTTATCCTTATCTTTAGTATCCACTGTACTATCTTTCTGTCCCCACTTAGTTTTATAATATTCTTTTAAAAAAGAAAAAACTATTTAAATACCGTGGTTTACAAAATTGTTTATAAATATAGTTGTTTCAGGCATTCAGTGTTCTAACACCCATCCCACCACCAGTGTGATCTTCCTTCCACCATTGTTCCCAGTTTCCTACCCAACTGCGAGACTGCCTCCTTGGAAGGCACAAAAGAAATTTTGAAAATATTTCTTGTTAAATAAAATGGCAAGTGAAATTATCAAAAAAATAGTTCAGTAAAAGAAAATTTGTGAAAATTGTTACATCTTACAATTAAAGTTATTGTCTGAAGATTTATTGAGCTGTTTGTTGCTAGTTGAGCTTTGTTATTATTTTTGCTTATTGAGCTTAGTTGGCTTCTATGCTACTTCCCCATCTACTTTATTGTGCTCCTACTGGACTGTCAGTTTTATGGAATTTGGAGGTGCCACACTCCAGGAGCTCTAGAATTGGGACAATTCCCGCCTCCCCTCCCCCCATACACATACTGCCTTTTCCTTAAGGGGCCCCAGAGTTTTCAACCTGGAGACTGGTGTTCTCATGAGTTTCATTGCCTTGGCTTGGTATCTCTTCCGAGATTCAGTGTGAAGCTGTGAAACTGGGCCATTTACATGGTGGCAGCTGTGGAATGTCAGTTTTATATTTGTCTATTAATTTTACCTCTTTAGATTAAATTTAAATTGCTATTCATGGTCTGTGAACCACATGCCAGCTCAGGAAATGGTTTGGGAGAGTAGTGGAGGAGGGAAAGGATTACAATAGAATAAAAATGATTTAATCTCACTTAGATAAATGATGTTTAAAGTATGTTACTTGGGACTAGAGAGGTCAAAGACTGAGTATGCATGTGGACTGGGTTCTGTGCCTGCAGTGCCTGCTTCTACTGCCCTCCCTCAAGCAATGCGAGGTATGGCACCAAAAAACGTGAACAACAAATATGTATACACACACACACATATAAGCATATATATGTATATATAGAGCCAGTTTTGTCTGTTTTTACCTGTGTCCTAAATTAGGAGAAGTTTGAGTAGGTTTTGTTGTTACAATTATATATTTCAGGGAAAAACAATCTACTGGACACTTACATTGTTACAGATGGCATCAGCATAAAAGTCCTTTCAAGTTCTCTTTCACTGAAATTTAATTACAGGCATCCTTTGGGGTTTATAACTTAGTTTTCCATGGCTATTACAATAGAAAAGAAAAGAAAAAGCACTTACATTTCTTGGAAACTTTTGAATTAGAATTTATCAGACCTTTAAAAAGCTAATTTTTCAGGATTTTCCCTGGCAGAATTTCTTTTCGGGGGTTGGGGGTGTGGAAGACATACTCTACAGTGCTCAGGAACCACTCTCGACTTGGTGCTAAGGAACTACATGCAGTGCTGGGTGTTGAACCAGGGCTGGCTACTTGTAAGTCAAATATCTTGTTCACTGTACTATCTGACCCCACTGAGAAGATCTTTTTTTTTTTTTTTCTTTTTGGGTCACACCTGGCGATGCTCAGGGGTTAAAATCCTGGTTCTGCACTCAGGAATTACTCCTGGCGGTGCTCAGAGGACCGTATGGGATGCCGGGGATTGAACCCAGGTCGGCCACATGCAAGACAAATGCCCTACCTGCTGTACTATTACTCCAGCACCACACTGATAATATCTTGAGTGGCAACAGTACTTTATTTTAAAAGTTGCTCAGGTCATACTTAGACTAGAAATTTACATTTATGTGTTATAGCTGGATAACACAAGAATTACTCTGTACTAATGACTGATAGGAACTTCCAGTCATTCAAATATTTATAGCAGTTGAAATTATATTTGAGCCCTTGCATGCTGATTTCAGTTGTTATTTTAGTATGAAATGACGCTTGCTGCTAGACAACAGGCTAATCCTGTTACAGGATTTATACCTCCAACCACTAAAGAATGCATTCCATTTTCAGCAGTTTTTGTCACCAGTTCCACATTGGGTAAACCCTGGTTTTTGTTGATCAAGCAGAGTGTTGGGTGGGGTAGGGGTAGTAGCAACTCCAGACAAGGCCACAGTCTCTTAGAGTTCTTACCCGCAGCTCAGATTTCAAGAATTAAAAACTTCTCTATTTGTTTTCTGCAATTTTTTTTTATTTCTAGTACCTTCAAAGGGCTGATTTTGACAATTTGTCCTATTTTTATTTAAAATTAATATTTAATATTATTTTAAATGTAACCTGCATTGCATGTGTGAAAACCCAGGTTTGATTCCTAGCATGACAAAAAAAGAAAAACTAAAAATTTTTGTTTTCCTTGTCATTGTTGATTTGCTCGAGCGGGCCCAGTAACGTCTCCATTGGAGACTTTGTTGTTACTGTGTCTGGCATATCGAATACTCTCGGTAGCTTGCCGGGCTCTCCGAGAGGGGCGGAGGAATTGAACTCGGATCGGCCATGTTGGCCGCTTGTAAGGCAAATGCCCTACCCGCTGTGCTATCCCTCCAGTCATTGTTAGTGGGTGTGATGTCTGGAGCTTGTACAGATTTGATTGCAGTAACCAGAAATAACCTAGTGGTTTTCAGGGGCCATATGCAGTGCCAGAAATTGCAAGTGCCTTACCTGCTATACCCTCTCTCTGGCCCACATCAATGGCTTTTCTTATTTGATGTTTGTAAGACAAATGAACTTAAACAAATTTTTAGGATTATAAGGGACAGTTTATGGCATCAAACATTTAGCTTTGGAAAAAAGAAGCTACAAATGAATCATTAGTGATGCACAGTCATTCTTTAGGAGTCAGCTTTTATTAAATTTAGTAGTGTAATGGCTGGATTTGTTTTGGGGCCACATGAGACCATGTTCAGAAGGCCTTATTCCTGACTCTGAACTCAGGGATCTCTCCTGGTGGGGCTCAGGGAACCTTATGGGGTGCCGGGAGTTGAATTTTGCAACGCAAGTGCCCTACCTGCTGTACTATTGCTCCATCCCAAGAAATATAACTTTAAACCTTTCACTTGAGTGACTTATGTGGAAAAAAATAAGTCATTGATTTAGAAATTCTTGGTTTTCAAAGGTTATTTGTAAGTACACTTATAGAAGTGGTTTATGATACTGTTAAATATACTTTTTATTCATACATCATTTCAATACCATACCCATCACCGTAGTGTCTCCTCCACCAATGGCCCAAGGCCCCCTAATAGCTACCACCAGCCCCATATAAACTCAGTTCTGTGGACAAAATCTCCAGTTCCAATGACTTTGACTGTTTGTTCTTCCCGTACTGTCTTCTTTTAATCTCACATATGAAAGAGAGGATATATATGTGTATGTATATATTTTTTAATTGTGAAGTTGGTGACACCCACACACATAGATGAGTAGAGTTAAACTCCGGGAATTCCATAGATTTGTAAATCAGTAATAAGTTGATAAAATATTCTTTAAAAACTGAATATTTTTATAGGTATGATTTTTAAAAATACCATTAATTATTCTGTGATAATTCATTTAAAAATGCATGAAATAGTCCCACAAATGTAAAATTTAGTAAGAGAATTAAAATTTTAAGGGTAAAAATCTGAATTTTAAGGCCTATTAAAGTGTGAAAGTATGTTTTATCCTAAGAAAGGGAATATTAGCTTTATATTAGGAAACATTATAGATACTGTTTAAGTATCTGCATTAATGAGTCAAACAAAACACTGTCCTCTCGTTGTTCATCGATTTGCTTGAGCGGGCCTGAGCAATAGCACAGTGGTAGGGCATTTGCCTTGCGTGCAGCCAGTCCGGCCAAGCTGGGTTTGATTCCTCCACCCCTCTCGGAGAGCCCGGCAAGCTACCAAGAGTATCTCGCCTGCATGGCAAAGCCTGACAAGCTACCCTTGACATATTCGATATGCCAAACACAGTAATAACAACAAATTAATAAGAGATTGTAACAAAAATATGAATGTGAAAAAAAAACCCAATCAGACATAAAACATTTAACATAGTTGAAACATCTACCCGTTGCTGAAAATGTATAAAATCCCTGGCATGCTAGGAGTAAGCAAACCTTTCTTAGAGGGCATTCATAATTACCGTAAGTGAATGCTATACTCAGTGTCTAGTTGTACTTCATCATATTTCTCTTCCTGTTCTTCAGGGACTTGATGATTTATATATTGTTATCTTGAAATACATCCATACTTCTGGTGTGCTGTTCAATTTTTAAAATTTCAGATGTATGTCCATATTATGTTTTCTAGAGGTTTTTACTATTTCATCTTGGACTACTCAGTCTTTTTCATAGCTGCATAGATCTTCTACTGATTTTTTAAAATATCACCCACTATACATCATAATTTGTCATTTCTGATACTTTTCTCATTTTAGCTGTCATTCTTTATAGTACTTTGCTAGCTACCTGTGCAATTGTTTCTTTGAACTCATTCAGCAGACTCATATGGTTTCATCATAGTCATTCTCTGAGAATTTAGAGCTGGTTGGTGCTGATTGAGCATTTTGTGTTCAGTTACTGAACTTGGTGGGCTTCTACAAGTCTTTACCATTGGATTTTCTATGTTTTTGCTCTACTGGGGGTCGGGGTAGGGTGTGAATCTTTGTAGTCAGCCTCTCTGGGCCTTTGAGGGTTCAAGTGGTAGTTTTTTCTTCCCTGCGTGTCTTCATCTAGTTACAGGAAGTACAACTGTGAATAGTGTGAGACTTGATGAGTAGAGCTGTAGTATCAGTTGATGTGGTGGAGGTGAGGTGGGATGTGGAGGCTGCCCGGACCTGGCCAGAAGGGAGGGGAATCTGCCTTGGTTCCAAAAAAGCTCTGTAGAGGTTAATTTTACCTGGGAGGTTAGGGACACAAGTAGAGGTTCAGGAGAATGTGGACTTTCTCTGAATGTTTTCCCTTTGCCTTTTCATCATATGAAACATTTTTCCTTTCTAACCAGGCAGTTGCTGTGGTGCAGAATGGCTGACCTAAGTCTTAAAGATGCTTTAACAGACCAATCTCCAGAAATTGAGGAGGAGATAAAACGGGACTTCATTGCTACACTGGAAGCAGAGGCCTTTGATGATGTTGTGGGAGAAACTGTTGGAAAAACAGAATATATTCCTCTTCTGGATGGTGATGAGAAAGCTGGGAATACAGAGTCAAAAAAGAAACCATGCTCAGATACTAGCCAGGTTGAAGGTAAGTAATTACCCAAATGAAATATATACTCAGAAATTAGATTTGCAATTTAGCTTTGAGTCATAAATTTAAAACTCTTTAATAAAATGAATGGGCTTAATACTATAGACTTTTTTTTTCTTTTTGGGTCACACCTGGCGACCCTGGCTCTGCACTCAGGAATTACTGCTGGTGGTGCTCGGGGGACCGTATGGAATGCTGGGAATCAAACCTGGGTCGGCAAACGTCCTCCCCACTGTGCTATTGCTTCAACCCCCATAGGGTATTTTTTTACTCCTTGTCAACATTTCTTTGAAATCACGGAGGCAGTCTATTACCACTTAGTTGACCTTGTCCTCAGGAATCTGTAGATACGTTTTAAAATTAATTTCAATTATTATGTTTTCTTTTTTTCCTTCTGTACTCCCTCATTTAATCTGGCCTGCCACAGTCATATAGGCAGAAAGTGCAGGGACTTTTTTCTTATATCTGTAATGGTAAAAATTTATTTTTAATTATTTTTGTTGTTGTTTTGGGGCCACTCCAGGGATCCTCTGGACTTACTCCTGGCTCTATGCTCAGGCATCACTCTTCACAGGCTTGGGAGTTATATTTGAGCACTGTGATGAAATTCAGTACTTTTAACCCTAAAATTTATTCTGTAACGTTTCAATTGTAATATAAACTGCCTTTTAATTTCCTAAGTTAAGCTGTTTGCTCGGCCCTCTTTTAAAAGAAGCTTATTTAAAACAGATAACAACGTTCTTCTTACATCAATATTTAATATATAACAGAATCGGTTGTTATTTGTCTTTGGGAATGATCCTAGGTCAGGATTAAAACATGGGGGTGGGAGAGACAGTAAAGTTGGCAGGAGAGTTGCCCTGCATGCCCTGACTGGGGTTCAATTCTTGGCCACCTATATGGTCCCTTGAGCACTGCCATGAGTGATCCTTGGATGCAGAGCTATAGGTAAGACCTGGCTCCAAAACCAATTTCCTCTCCCATTCCAAAATATATTAAACACTCAAAAGTGGTCAGATCAGATTTGCTATAATTTGTTGGGAATTTTAGCATCCATATTCATTTGGGCTATTTTTAGCTTTCTTGTAATACCTTTTGTGTCTCTTTTAAAATAATTTTTTGGCTGAAACTATAGTACAGTGGGTAAGGACACTTGCCTTGCACATGGTTGAGTAGGTTTAATCTCCGGCATCCTATATGGTCCCCCGAGCACCACCAGAAGTGATTCCTGAGTGGAGAGTCGGGGAGTATCCTCTGAGCATCACTGGGTGTGCCCCCGACCTCCCCCCAAAAAACCCAAATTAAAAAATAATTTTAATTTGATTCTACCATACCTTTCATTTTTGTTGTTGAGATTACTGATGGCTCCACGCTTGATTTAAGTACTTGCACACTCATTCCATGCTAGGAATCATGCTCAGCTTGTGGGGTGGTGGTGGTGGTGGTGGTAATGGTGGTGATCAGATTTGAGCACTAATGCTTGCATGGCAGGTGCTCTACCATTGAGCTATACCTACACTTTTTCTGGTTTTACGATTTAGGTCACAATGGCAATCATAAGTTAGGAAGAGTCTTCCTATTTTGTTTTCTAGCATGGATTGTGTAGATTTTATTATTATTTTTAATTTTGTTTTTTGGCCACACCCGGTGGTATTCAGGGGTTACTGCTGGCTCTGCACATAGGAATCACTCCTGGTAGGTTCAGAGGACCATGCCTGACCATATGGGATGCCAGACCATATGGGACGCTGGGATCAAATTCAGGTCAGCACATGCAAGGCAGTCACCTTACCTGGTGTCCTATCTCTCTGGCACTGATTTAAAAAAGAAAAGTTTAACAAAATGAAACAGCTGTACATAATTGTCCATGTTGTTTGCACATGCTGCCCACATGTTCTGTCTTGAGATGGGGACTTCATACGTGAACATTGTGATGTGTTCTGGCTCTCTCTGCTCTCGAGAAGTCTTTGTTCTCTCTTGAGCACATTTTTTTTTAATTTTTATTAGTGAAACTTCATGAGGTACAGTTGTACAAATTTTTGTGCTTGGGTTTCAGTTATACAATGATCCAGTACCCATCCCTTCACCAGTGCCCATTCTCCATCATTTACAGTTTTTTTTTTTAATTTTTGTTAGTGAAACACCATGAGGTACAGTTATAGATTTACAAATTTTTGTGCTTGTGTTTCAGTTGTACTATGATCAAACACCCATCCCTCCACTAGTGCCCATTATCCACCATCACGGGTCCCAATATCCCTACCCCCGCCCCCATCCCCCTGTCCCACCCTGCCTCTGTGGCAGGGTATTTCCTTTTGTTTTGAGCACATATCTTAACCCATCTTTCTCTTTACCTCTCTTATTTCCCCAATTAACTTGTTATACTTCACTTTGAAAAAATTAAACAGCAGTCACTATAGCTTGAGTTGTATTTCAGCTTTTTCCTTTGTCAGGATTATAAGTAGAAATTTAATTTGAGATATAAAACTATTCCGATTATTCTCTGAAGCTTTGTTAGTTTGTATCTATCTTCACATTTATCCATTTCCTCAGAACTATCAAATTAATGAAGATGAAGTTATCATAATTCTTTATTCTTTTTGTTTTTTGCAGCACTAGGGCCTCACACATGCATTGCAAGTGCTCTTCTGCTTTACTATATCAGTGGTCTTTATTTTGAGGTCATAGCTGACTGTGGTTGGAGGATCATGTACTGGAGGATGGAGAAGTGTGCATGTCCTAGGGAACCTGGGGCTCCTGTACACAAAGCATGTAGTCTAGTTATTTCAGCCATCTCCTTGGCCATATTCCTCTTTTTGTGTGTGTGTTTGTTTTTGTTTGGGGTTACACCTGGTGATTCTCAGAGGTTACTCTTGGCTCTGCACTCAGAAATTACTTATGGTGATGCTTCGGAGAAGAGACTGTATGGGATGCCGGGGATCGACCTCAGGGTTTGTCTTATGCAAGGCCAAGTGCGCTACTCACTGAACTACTTTTCTGGCCCCTCCTTATTTATTTTTGAAGTGAGGGCGCCACATCCAGTGGTATTCATTTATTGAAACTTACTTAGAAAATTGTGAGGGGGAGAAACGCTGAGTTTGGGGGAGCCATTATCCTTTGAATATTTCTAGGGTCTGTTGTCTTATTATTTTTTTTTTCATTTTTTGCTTCATTTCTTCATTGTTGAGTTTTTCATTTTTGTTTTGTTTCATTTTTTTGTGATTGGCAGAGTCATACATATAATTGTGATGCTCCTACATTTAGTTGTAGTGTTCACTGGGGGTCATAAGTCAGGTTATAGAACTAACTTACTCATCTGTGTTGCATGTACACTTTCTGGGTGTGGTGCTTACACACACTTGACTGTGTCATGGCTAGAAGTTTTGTGGCACCAGGAATCAGAGAGAGCAGAGCTGCCTGACTCAAGAACAGCACCATTGGTGAAATTGCACTTGGCTCATGTAAGCCACCAAGCTATCCTGTATGCCCCATTCTTTCATTTCACATATTGGTAACTTGAGAACACTTTTTTCTTGATGAATCTGGATAGTGCTTTACCAATTTAGTCATTTCAATAAACCAGCTTTTGGATTCTTAGATTTCTGCCTCATTCCCACAATTTTATGCTTTTAATTTTTGTTCACATCTTTATTGATTGCTTTCCTTCTGCTTTGAATTGATTTGCTTTTCTAGTTTCTTAAGGTGATGATACCTTAGATCTGAGCTTCTTAAACTTTTTACCACTCATGAGTCTTGTTTGTTTTGTTTTGGGGCCACACCCAGTGATGCTCAGAAATTACTCCTGGCTCTGCATTGAGGAATTACTTCTGGTAATGCTCGGGGGACCATACAGGATGCTAGGAATAGAACCCAGGTCAGCTGTGTGCAAGGCAAACACCCTACCTGCAGTACTACTGCTCCAGCCAGGATTGAACCCAAAACTTCACACATGTGAAGCATGTTTTCTACCATTGAATTATATCTTGATCATTGATTTTTTTTTCCTCTTTCCAGTGGGGTGGCTACACCTGGTGATAATCAGGCCTGACTTTTGGTTCTGTACTCAGGGATCACTGAAGTCCAAGAACCATAGGAGGTTCTTGGGATTGAACACATGCAAGGCAAATGTCCTACTGACTGTACTATGATTATGGCCCTCCCTTTTTAAAATATTTTCTTTGATGGACGTGGGAGTGGGAATGGGGAGGTGGTTTGGGCCATTCATGATATGTTTGGATGCTACTCCAAGATTAGTTTTGTGGGGGTCACTTGTGGTAAGTGGTTAGGTTGTGCTGTGGATAAAAGCTTGGATGTTTTTTTGCAACCCTTTGAACTGTCTCCCTAGCCCCCTTGATGTATTTGTAAAATGTCCTTAAAAGTATTTTCTTATTTCCTTTGTGAATTCTTCTTTGACTCATGGGTTCAAAAGTAGTGTTTAATTTTTCAATATTTGGTAATTATTCAAATATCTTTCTGTAGTTGACTTTTTATTTCATTCTATTGTGGTTAGAAGATATTCTTTGAAATTTCAATTCATTTCAAATTGTCAGATTTTGTTTTATGATTCTGAATATGGTTTGCCATGGTCAATGATTTGTGAGTACTTGGAAATAGTTTCTGTAATTTTATTGCTCTGTGGAGTAATTTGGGTTTGTTGGAGTTGTTTAAGTTTCTGTGTCCTCACTGACTTTATTATGTTTGCTCTAGTGATTTCTGAGAGATAGTACAATGGGTAAGGCATTTGCCTTGCACGTAGCCGCGTTTAACCTTCAGCATCCCATATGGTCCCCAGAGCACTGCAGGATTAATTCCTAAGTGCAGAGCCTGAGCATGGTCAGTGTGAGCTAAAAAGCCCCCCCCCAAAAAAAATCCCAGAAATGTCTATAGTTTAATGGATTTGTTTGTTCTGCCCCTTTTTTGGTTCTGTTTTGTTTTGGGGGCTATACCTCACTGTATTCAGGGCTTACTCCTGGCTCTGTGCTCAGAAATCACTTCTG